ATACATATATAAAATTGTGAAGATAGTTAAATACAGTTAGGTAGACCTAAAACAAAAGACCTTAGTTTGGAGACAGGTAATCCCAAAGGAGTTTGGCATAATAAATGGTGCAGCAACACCATGAATATATATGTATTTGTATATTTTGTAAGATTTTTACAAATACTTTACAACCAGGTGAAGTTGTAAAGTATTTATTTGGTTTCCACATAGGGAAATAGTGGCTGGAGAAGATTTTCTTTGAAAAAGTTCTTTAAATAATGCAGTACCCTTTTTCTTGCTCCTCCCTTAATTGTTCTCCACATGACTTAAAGTAATAATCACCCTCTCCATGTGAACAACAACCTTATTTGATGAGAATTATTATTTCACATCTAAAAATGGGGAAACCAAGACAGCAGGAGGCAAAGCAGCATGTCAAGCTATTTTGCAACTCGAGAATGGCTGTTTCCCACCGCATTTCAGGTCTTTCACATCTTACTGAGGCATACCCTACTCATCCTATTTAAACTTGTAACCATCCTCCATCCTCTTAATCACTGATCCTGGTTTATTTTTTGTTTACGTTTTCTGTTACACTTATCTTCTTACTATGTAATTTTTAGTATATAATTTACTTCATTATGCCTATTGTTTGTGTTTTCCAAATTCTACTGCCTATTATCCTCTGTAGAATGAAAGCTAAGATCCTTGTTTTGTTTATTTATGTATCTCAAATACCTGAGAACAGTGCTTGGTACATATAATAGGCCCATGAACATCTGTCAACTACCTGTGTGAGTGTGATCTCATGTTATAGTATGGAGACTGTAGCTTTACTCTTCTCATTTCCTTCCTGCCACCGTGCTTCCCAGACTTAATTTGACTTCTCCTTTTGTTCTTATCTACTCTGTTTTTTCAGCACTGAGAGTTAGTGATCATTTTTAAATCGTTAAGTTATATCCCTTTCCTGCAAAGGGTAGTGTAGTCACTATGAGTTGATTTTAGTGTTATTGTAGGATTCATGGAGAAAGAATGAAACTGCAAAAGAGAGAGGAAAAAAATACCTTGAAGAGGGAATAGAATGTAATCAAGCAACCACATTTCATTGTCTACTTAGATCAGCAGTTGTTAATAATCTACACCTGTCATGAACTGCCATCGTGTAAAGTCCTGAGGAGGGCACCCAGCCAGTGATTTTAGCATAAGAGCAAAATAGAGCATGAAAATGAATTATTGAATCATTGAACCCCTGTTTTGGGGCCTACAAATGGGAGAGAATGGCTTAGGCTTATTTTTTGTGAATATTTTGATAAATAGCGCAAGTAATCAGAAAACCCAGGGCGGTTTTCAATCTACTGTGAGTTCACATTTGGGTTGGACAGTCTTGAGCATACTTTCCCTCTTTCTTTCACTCCCACACCTCTATTCCTTAGAATACTATTTTAAACTTAATAGAAAGCTGTCTGGTCTGTCCTCTCCTATTAAAGAAGGCTTGCCTTTTACAGCCACCTCTGCACTGGTTATTTGTCACATCCCTGCATATTAAAGTTTGCACACGTCTTTTGGCTTTTGTATCTGTTGTTTTCTATTGTTGCAGAGTTTAAGAACTGCTAGAATTAAATCCTTCTGCCTTTTCATACTCAGGAGCATATGTTGCTTTCCTGGGCATTATACTGATCATGTTTTGGCAGATCTGACTTCTTTGAGGGAGTGGAGTAGCCCTGTATCTTTTTGGTTTTGTCCCATTCTGGGTATTCTCACTTTTTCATCTCTCTTCATGGAAGCTGTTCCTGAGGACTTCCATCTTGGCTCAGAATGTCCTAGTTATGTCACCTCCTCTTCCCTTTCTCCTCTCTTCTCCACTCCTTTCCACCCTTACACCTCCTAGGGCCTAAAAATGTGAAAGACATATGTGCTCTTTTGAGAAATGTTGCTCTCTGTGGGATAACAAGTTCAAAAGACTTTTCTGCTCCCTATTCTCATTGCCATCATTAATCACTGCAGTGGCCTGTGGATCCATAACAGCCTAGTCTTAAAATGTCCCTTCTAAGTTTAATTTCTCTTCTTTTGGCCTTTTAAGGATGTGGCTTGGCTTTGGGCAGTAGACTCCTTTTAGTGTGGCCCATGTGAGTCCTTCTGTGACTCTGCTACACACCCATCCCACCCACGAGTCTGGAGCTTGTCTGCTTCCCTTTCCTCCAAATCTTAAAACATATTCTTGAGAAGGGACTGCACTGTAGCTTATAGCATCCCCCCGCCTTTGGGTAGATGGCTTCTTAAAAGAATTTGTTAGCTTTTTCCAAAAAGGGCTATATAAATCTATTTTTAAAGCATAAATCCTGTCTGAACTTTGGAGGAGAAACAACTTGGCTTGAGGTTTCTTGGACATGGGAACTTTTGACCTAAAGTCAGTTTTTCACATTGTTGAAAAAAAACGCTGGGGTCCCAGAAAACATACTAAGACTGGGTAAAATTTCTGGTGGAGTGCTGATTCTTGTCTAGTGGCCATGTGATCAAGGGCATGTCAGCTATGTGGCTCTGAAATTCTTCATCTGTAACATAATAGGATTAGAATAGATAACTTCTAATGGGTGCTCTAATCCCACTGATACATAATATTAGCTAATATGTTTTAATTACTTTCTCCCTGAAGGAATCACTTAAAGATATAATTTACACACTATATAATTTGCTCTTGTATACAATTCAGTGACTTAATGTATTCACAGATATGTGTAGCCATCACTTCAGTCAATTTTAGAATATTTTTATACTCCTGAGGAAACCCATGTACCCATTATCAGTTGCTGTCCATTGCTTCTTTTTTTTTTGGTTTTTCTCCGGTACCGGGAACCGAACTCACGACCTTGCGCTTGCCAAGCAGGTGCTTTGCCGCTGAGCTAAATCCCCAGCCCCTTCCATTGCTTCTTAATTTCTTCTTTGCTCTTGGCAATTATTAATCTACTTCTTGTCTCTATTTGCCTATCCTGGACATCTTATAAATGGAAGTAGTCAGTTGCGACTGACTCCTTTCATTCAGGGTAGTTTTTAAACTTCATCCAAGTTGTAGCTCTATCAGTACAGTACTTCATTCCTTTTCATGGCTGAGTAGTATTCAGTTGTATAGGTTCGACATTTTATTTACTCATCAGTTGATTACCATTTTGGCATTAAGAGTAATACTTTTATGAATAGTCTTGTTTAAGGTTTGTGTGGATGTAGTTTTTTATCTTTCCTAGGTGTATATCTAGGAGTGCAATTGCTGAGCCATGCAGTAACTTTGTTTAACCTTTCAGTAATTTCCAGACTCAGGATTCCAACGTGGTTGTACTTTTTCACATTCTAGTCATCAGTCTCTGAGGCTTCCAGTTTCCCCATCTTTGTTAACACTTATTATTGTCTGTCTTTTTATTCTAGCAATCTTAAAGGATGTGAAATGGTATCTCATTGTGGTTTGATTTGTGTTTCTCTGATGCCTGATGATGAAAAAATCTTGTACTTAATGTTCATTTATGTATCTTTTTTGGAGACCCTGTATTTAGATCCTTTGACTAGGTTATTCCCATTTTCAATAAGCTGTGAGAATCCTTTTCAATTGTAGATAAAAGTTTCTTATCAGATATATACTTTGCCAGTATTTTCTTTCAGTCTGTGGGCTGTCCTTTCACCCTCTTGGTAGTATTCTTTTAAGCGTAAATGTTTTTAATTTGATGAAGTCCAGTTTACCTAGTTTTTTGTTTTGTTGCTTGTGCTTTTGACCATATTTAAGAGAGCTTTACTTAACAAAAGTTACAAAGATAAAATCTTTTCCTTTTTGTTCTAATAAATAGTTTTATAATTTAGCTCTTCTGTGTAGGTCTGTGAGATAATTTTTATGTATGAGGAGGAGGATCTAACTTCATTCTTCTGCATGTAGATTTTTAGCACCATCTGTCTAGTGCTTTTTATATCTGACTCACTTAACCTTACAACAACTCTTCAGGCTAGGTCCAGTTCATCCCTTAAGGAAGAAAGAAAATGTAAATTTTGTGCTGAGGTTTGCTCAGTGTGCTGCAAGGCTGAGAGCTGTGCCTCAGCCATTTGGCTTCAGTGGCCACGCTTTTAACCATAAATTAACTCTCACTCACTGCCTTCTTCTGCCCACCTATTAACGGACAAAAAACTACCTTGAAAATACTCAATCAGCCATATAAAATTTTATTTCTTATCTCTTGTGGTTATTTGAAATGCTTCTGCTTCCTTAATTTGTCTGTGGTTGGTGAATTCAGTTATTGTAATATTAACTAATAGAAAGCCAGGGTCCTAGTTCCTGTTCCTTATAACTTAGCTGTGAGGACTTTATTGCCTCCCTGACAACTTAGCCAACCTTATGTAGTCTTGACAGAGAGGTAAGGTAGGGAGAGGATGACCAAGACGAATTGTAGAATGCCCACCAGACCACACAAGCTCTACTGAAACACTAACTTGAACTTTTCTGAAGAGTATCTCTGTGAAGAGCACTGGGCTAGGAACACTGACCTCAAATTGCATGTAGTGACTGCTCCATGGTAGATCTGTAACTTTGGCCTCACTTTATTGTAAGTACAGATGGGTTTAAGCATTTCAGCACATCTTGGCTCAGTCCATTTGTAAGGCTTTCATATGATTAAACAGCAATATGAGTAATATAAATTTTTAAAGCCTGAGTGTATATTTCCTTAGTCTTTCTCAGGCTTGCTTAGTGATTCATCTGCTTGAATGGACTGAATAATAAGTATCTGGAGAAATATAATTTTCTTCAATCAAACTTTCAAATATTCCTGTCTTCTGTGAAGTATTTCCTTTCATTTCTGGGGAATATCTTTGGCCACTCATTTTAAACTCATTTATATAACTACCCCTGTATTCAGAGAAACGAGCCATGTTCCAGGAGAGCAAAGCAGATGTACGAATTCACAGTAACTTGTGGTAAGGAACGAGTAGAGCAAGTCTGTTTGTTTTATTCACTAGGCTGTAAATTTCATAAAAGCAAGGACTCTGCCTCTTTTACTTATTGTTACCCCCTAACATCCAGTGAAAGACCCAGTAAGTATTCTGAGTGAGAGACAGTAACCTTAAGGAATATTTTGAGGAGTCCAAATATCTAGTCATACTATATTTTATTTATTTATTTATTTTTAATTTTATTTTAAAGAAAAAACCCACAAAAAACCAAAAAATACAATTCCAAAATGATATGATGGGAGGGTAACAATTGTCAGTACATTGAGTATTATCATCTTTAAATTAGTTGCTCAGAGTCATACTGTATTTTAAATAGGAGAATATTCACTGAGCATTTTCTTGGCTTAAAGCTGACAGCCTTCTATTTTATTAACTTAAGGATTTAGTACAAAAAAAAGGGAAAGGAAAGAAGCCAAATATAAAAAATACAGAGAACCACATTGTGGGCACTGAGGATGAAGTTTGGTATTTTAGTTTTGTTTTTCACAAAAAGGAAAAATCCAAGGAAAGGAAGTAGTGCTATAAATGTAACATTCATTTAGAGATGAATATAAATAAGTGGAAGTACTGGGAAATAGTAATCATGGTAGCTTTTAATATTTGTATAACACTTTATTTATGATGTGGTACTTATGAGAATGTAGAAAGGCAGGCTGGGCAAGTGGAGTCACACTTATTTTACACTTAGGGAGGCTAACTTCGAGTTTGTAATTTACTATGTATTAAATGGCTTGTAGGTTGTGAGATTGGAACTTAACCCATATCAGTATTCAGTATTTCAGTATTTTTCCTGTGCCCCCTCAATCCCCAATTTTGGAGGCCCCTGAGCTGTCTTACCTCCCCCCAGAAAGGAACCTAAAGTTAATTGGGTGATCTTTTATCTCTGTTTTCCAGTAGTCTAGTATGGAGTTGGGGAAAATCTAACACCTTGTTTTTTAGAACCAAAACATATTTGTCCCAAGTAGATATTAATCTTCCCCAGGATTTTATTTCGTGGAAACATGTTGAAATACTCGTGAGCTGAGTATGTGGAGGCATATCGTTGGTATAATGAATCCCTTTCACTGTTCGGCTATGTTTGATGCCAGAGAACACGAAGGATTGTGGAATTCTTCATATAGTGAGTCCTGCATTGAGCAGCTGCTGGACTGAACTGAAATCCTGTTTTGGTGACTGTGTCCATTGGGAGATAGCAGAACTCTTCCGTTTGAGAGTTCATCTTTTCCTTTTCTTCTTCCTCTACCAGGTTTTGAAGGGAGCACCTGTGAGCGGAATGTTGATGACTGCCCCAACCACAGGTGTCAGAATGGAGGGGTTTGTGTGGATGGTGTCAACACTTACAACTGCCGTTGCCCTCCTCAGTGGACAGGTGCGTACATGGCCAGTTCTGCAGAACAGCATGTGGATTGGCATCCAGCAGAGACCGATATTGAAGGGAGCATTTTCTACAAATTTTCTTAGAGCTGCTTTGAGTCTAGACTGGTATGAACTGAACATAGATAGTCATATTGGATCTTCGGGTGGTGCAGTGTTGTTCTGTGCTCGTGCAAATAGACATGTTGTCACGGGTATGATTGGGTAACTGCTCTGAACTCAGCGCCTGTGCTGTTACATGTGAAAGGAGAGAAGAACATTGATCACCCGAAGACTTATTATCTGGGAAGAGCAGCATATCACTTAGAATATAGTAACTACTTAATAAATATTTTAGAGGGAAAAGAACATGCTTAAATGCCAAAATCAATTGTACACACCACAAGAGTTCCGATCATAGTTTATTCATGGAACCATATTTGCCCCATGTTACTGTTTATTGTCATCCCGCATCACTATCAAGGGGTTGGACAACTACTTTTGACATTACTTTTTATTTCTTAGACTACATTTCTGCTTTTTCTTTCTTGTATCCCTTTTCCGACATCATACACAAATAGGTTTTTCTGCCTCATAAGAGCAGAAATTTTAATTATTTAATTTTACAACCACTTAAAAGTTTTTATGTTGTCTTAGGTTTTTCACTTATTTTTGAAAATCAAATGATTTTATGCAGACATTTAGTTCTAATTTTTGTTCATAGGATCTATCTACCTGTCTTCAGAAAGTGGAAACTATTAAGAATGGGTTAAGGGATTAAGAGCTGAGCCGTTTGGAGAGACATTGATTGATTTAATCGGAAACCTGACGAGTGCATGATATAAGAAGGAAGTGCAGCAGCAGGGATGGACTGTCTCCTCCAGAGAGGTCTTGGTGCTGAGTTGCAGCTATTCCTACCTCATGTTCTTTTGCGTCTTAGAATTGCTTTCTTTTATAGCTGCTAATTATTTAGAGTACTCTAATGGTGTAAACTACGAATAGGAAAAAATAGAAAGGATTTACAACTTAAATAATATGATTTTCTTCAAGAGCACATATTTCTGCTTTTAATCCCCAAATAATTGGTTTTGATTTTTTTTCATGAGGTTTCCTTACCCCTGAACTTCCCTTAGAATTTTTTCATGGTGTTCTGGTCCTAGGACTTTACTCCTACCTTCTGTGCTTTCTACCGTGCTCTCCCCTCTGCTTTTTTTGAGGAGGGGTCTTTTTGAGACAGGGTCTCACATTGCAGTTCAGGCTGGCCTTGAGCTCCTTCTGTAGCCCAGATTGGTCTCAAACTCGTAATGATCCTCCTGCTTCAGCCTCCCAAGTGCGGGGATTACAGGCATGCACCACCATGCCCAGCCCTCTCCCCTTTCCTCTCTATTTCTTTTTTACATTTCTGTGGAAGATTTTTTAGAGGCTTTTTTTTTTTTTTTTGTAATTTAAAAAACTACTGTAGGCTGGATATGTTGGCACACAGCTGTAATCCAGCATGTAGGAGGCAGAGGCAGGAGGATGGCTATGAATTTGAGGCCAGCTTGTGCTACAGAGTGAGTTCAAGGCCAAACTGAACTACCTAGTGAGACCCTGTCTCAAAACACGTGTACGCATGTGCGCGCACGTACACACACACTCTCTCTCTCTCTCTCTCTCTCTCTCTCTCTCTCAAACTACTGTAAAGTTACTTTGATGGCAAATAGTTACTGGGAGGTCTGAAGTTTTTTCTCTTTTTAATGATATTCACAGATGCATTAGACAGGTTGAGATACTTGCCAAGAACTTGACTTTATTCTAATCTCTTACTTCCTTGTGGGAGAGTGACTGTGTGGTACTAAGACTTCTGATGCCAGTGAAGGTTAAATGGTATTTAATTTCATTGCCGATTTCTCCTGGATATCACATTTGGTTTCCTGCTGTAATATTAATTAGAGAGGTTGGATCTTGGGGAAAACTTTCCCAGTGACATGATATTTTACCCACATTCCTTATCCCAGGATGTTTAGTAAGTACCTCTTTTCTATCAAACTCCCTGTAAGATATTTCTTTCGTGGTATGTTTTATGTTTAGAACGGGTGGCAGAGGTAGTGAGTGGAAAAATTCCATGTGGTGGTTTTTATTTCTTTATGTCTGCTGGCTGTCCTTTAAAGTGACCCTCATTGGTTTCCCACCACAGGTTTCCTTCCCCTTTTCCTTTGATTCTTTGAGCTTGATTTCCAGCGACAAGACTTGTTTTTTGCCCTGCTCATCATTAACAGAATGAAATCCAAGATCCTTCCTCTGTTCTTGAAGCCCTGTTGTCTTTTCTAGTTTCCTCTTGCATCCAACAGCTCTTCAGACTCCAGCAATAAGAGCTGTTCTTAGCTCTGTTTCTGCTGCTCATTGTTTCATATCCTGTATCTTCATTCACACATTCCATTTCTCTAGATTTCTCTGCTCCTCTCCCTGTTTTCCTCACTGTTTTTTACCTGCCTAACTCTGTCAGGTAGTTACCTCCTTCAGGAAGCGTTTGCTGACCTCCATATAGGCTCAGCAAAGTGTTTTCTGCTGTCTGCATTTTCCTGCATTTTTAATGACATTATCAGATGCTTGATGTCTGGAGGTACCGAGTTATGGGGTAGTTGAATTATTGATGACAGGTGTTGCTAGCACTCTTTACACACCTTTGAGAGCTGTTTTCTATCACACCTGCCCCCATTCTGAAGAGAGGAATAGAAAGACATTTGTATCATAGGGTTCCTATTTCTAGTGAAATTAGAGTTTTGAATTCAGATTAATATTTTCTATTTTATATAACTTTTAGAAATGAATAGGTCTGAGGTATAAGAATTAAAAAATGTTTATTAGCTCCCAGTGTGCTTAATTGCACTGTTTTACTTTGTGTAATGTTTGTCATAACTGTATCGGGAGTATAACTTATTAAATATCCTTTTTTATAGGTGCTGATACATATTCAAAAGGGTTTAATAATTTGCTCAAGGCAGATAGTGATTAGGTTGGTGTTTGATTGTAGGCCTGTTGAGTTCCAAATCTGTCCTAAAATCTATAGTCTTTTTTCTATATCAAATTGATTTTTTTTTATTTTTAAGTACTTTCTTAATAGGTTGAAAGTTTAATTTATAATTTTATTATGCTAGGATTTGGTGATTTACTCTGTTCTTTCCATTTAAGAATTTAGCTGGTTACTTTGAGGTTAGAAGTTCACATAATGTGAATGTTTTATATTAAGTTCAGTGTTTTTTTTACTATACCTAAGAGCCTTGTTTTAATTTTGTTCAGAATTCCCTTTGCAATTTCCAGCTGTAGAGTTGAAGCATGAACTGTTTGGTTTGGCTTTTAATGAAATAGAAAAAGAGGGGTTGTACTAGGCCAGTAGGAAAAGAAATGAGGTTGCTAGCCATTTGAAAAAGAATGGGTAAGATTATATGGCTGAAAAAAGGCATTAACTTTAAATAAATGTAAATGTGGGAATTTGCTACATTTTTGCTGAAAGCTTGATAGATACAGTTTTGTTTTGTTGGTACATGTGCATAAAAAGCTTGGTCTTTTAGGTAAGCTCTAGACTTCCAGATGAGTGGAACTTTTTCCAGCTATTATCATGGTTTGACGTGGGTAAATAAATTTCTTGTTCTCAAAAGGCTTTGTTTGTTGTACATGAGTCTAATATCCCTTACTTTCTTGAAGTCTTGGGAGAATCAGTGGTCAGTAGAATCTTGGGAGGAATTAGTGATCAGTAGAATGCTTTTTTATTTTTTTACTTCATTCAGCAAACAACAATCATGCTAAACAGTGTAGTTACATCTTGGTAAAGATCTTAAGTGTGTTGTCCTGTAATACGAAATACCTGATTTTGAAGACTTAATATGAAAAAATACAGTATATAATAATGCTTAAATATTGATTAGATGCTGATGTTATGATGTTTTAGGTAACATTGAGCTAAATGAAATATATTAAAATTAGTTTCATACATTCCTTTTCATTTCTACAGTGGCTACTAGAAAATTGAGAATTACATCTGTGTGTTTCCTTATATTTCTTTTGGACAGCATACTTTAGATACAAAGGTGTTGTTTCTGAATTAGCATTGCTGCTTCTACATGGGAACATCAGCTTGGTCTCTCAGTGGGAGAGGGACGGATGGGTAGCCATATGTAGAGGAGGCCTGACATTGGTCTCACTGGCAAGAACATGTTGGCTTCGTTTTGCTATAGTTTTCTCATCAGGTATGGGCAGAACTGTGTTGTAGCTCAGTTCACCTATCATGGCTGTCTAAATAGTGTTTTTCATGCTTTCAAAGACCAACAACCAGTCTTCTGGACTGGTCTGAGCTCAGATAGAACAAAGAAATTGGTTTTGGGGGTGGGTGTGGACAGATGATTTACTTCTTCATAAGAATCTTGTTATAGAGATAAGTCTGAATAACTAGATGTTCTTTTAGGAAATGAAACTATACCTAAGGGTTTAATGCCAACTGAGCACAAATATCTTCATTATACTGCTTTTGGCCCGATGCCATCTTATCAGAGAAGTTCTGCTCTGCCAGATATCCATTTAAAGAGAAATAAGTTTTAAAAGGCCCCAGAATTTATTAAAGCAGTGTAAATTAATGTTTTCTCTACATAGGTTGTTATTTGAATTTTCCTTTTAAAGGTTCATTTCCTTCAGAATTCAAGTTGACTCTAAGCTCAACTCACAAATTCCTTTCTGTGGCTGCTTTTGGTTTTGGGTTCACTCCTAGGGCAGATGTGATTTATTTTCCTGTGCTTATTATTAATCCAGAAATGTAATTTCATCGTGAGCTTAGAATAGTGCTTTGGGATTTAAGCAGAAATGAACAATGAAACTTAGGTGGATATGAGTCAAATAAAACTGACCAAAGTTTCTCGCAGCTCTCCTTTATAGCATGATGAGCCTGAAGAATTGGTTATAATCCCCACTGCTCTCAGTTGCTCCAGTTCCAGTAAGAGCTTTTGGCATGAATCAGTGAGTGCAGAAGCCAGAGGTGGTGCATGA